AGAAAAGATTTCAACGGTACTATTGAGAAACGCTTAGCTCCAAAATATCGAGACGGGCCTGCGATACTTTGAGAACTCAACAAACTGGAGGTTGTCGTTGGAAAGGGGGACAATGCAGTAGCAACGCCTGATGGGAGCTTTCCGCACCATCAATATTTGGACTCGTGCCAGTGCCACCATTGTGCCCTCTCTAGCATGCATCGGATCTTACATTGCATTGAGCCACGTAACGATCCGACGGCTCACGATTTTTCTTGTTATTGAGCCAATAGCATACTCAACACTTGGGCATCTAGCACGCACAGGCTCCACGTAGTCATTGCGCCCCTCCATGCATCAATTATTACTTTTCATGCCTGTTAGTCCCACTGCGAAAATGCCTTGTTACTGTAAATCGTGACATTCCTCGCCATCCGGAGATCAAATGTATGTTTTCATCTAGAGAGGTTCTGTTAACTTAATTCAACTTAATTCGTTTCTTTTCTATTTTATTATTTTCAAAGCAACAATGAATATTGTTTTTTCCTAGTACAATTCTAGGTAACACACACTGATCGACCAATTACCTTTGGTTGTTTTGTAATTTTTTTTTTGTAATTCTTATGCAGTTGATTGATGCAATTTTGGTCGACAATTGATTCTATAGTTTTTGTCCAATTTTAGTTATGTATTAGTTATATTAGGTATGGATTCTCCGGTTAAATTTAGGCCGTTAGATCATCATAAAATCTAATGGTGCATATTAATTTATTTTTCATTAAGCTCATGATTTCTAGACTTTATCGGCAAAGGTGGAGGTCCTTGAAGATAACACATTTTTTTTGTACATATAAAGACTAAGATATAGCTAAATTAAGAATTTAAAAAATATAAAAGAGACTATGCCAATTACAATAAGTTCTTCCATAGAAACATCTCAACATCTTGAACATTAGGGGTCGTCAATCGAAATGCATGTTATCCTACTATAGTAAGAGGGTATGAATTAAGAGGTACACGACGATGCTTCAATTTAACATGTAAATGAAGATCTTATATTGTAAATGACAGTAGATAAGACTGAAAATTGGGATGAAAAAATTTGTTCTTAAATAAGGGCAAATGGGCTGCAACAAAAGTTAACATATAGGTCGTGCTAATGTTTCTACTAAATATATGTTTTTTTAGAATTCTACTAAATATATGTTGGGAAAATTAATGATATGAAAGTGTGATACCAAGGTGGAAAAACTATTAATTGGATGAAAAGGCATATATCTAGAGTAATTTGTAAGCAAGTTTATTACAATGATAGAGTACCTTTTTGCATATGTGTGGACTCTATATTTGTGCACTGTGTTAGAAACTAAACAGATGAGAGATCATAAAGTATAAGAGCAATTCTAATTAGACCTAGCTCAAAATTTGTACATAAATTACTTAGCTCTATTTAGAACAATATGGTGTCTTACAAAATTGTTAAGCCATGCAACAACACTGCACAGATACATACTCCCTCCATCCTAAAATGAATGTAATTCTCACTAGCCGAAAAATCAAACACTTATAAGTTTGTCTAAATCTATACGAAAAATCACAAGCATTTATGAAACTAAATAAACATCATTGGATTTGTTATGAAATATTTTTTTATAGAAAACATATTTGGAGTTATAAATATTGATACTCCCTCTGTCCCCAAATAAATCACTTCCTAGAATCCGTGCAAGTCAAACTATCTTAAGTTTGACTAATTTTATAGGAAAGAATAACAACAACTATGATATAAAATGAGCACATTATGAAAATGTATTCTATGGTCTATCTAATAATACTAATTTGATATCATAAATCTTGACGGGTTTTTTCTAGAAATTTAGTCAAAGTTTAAAAGTTTGACCTAAGACAACTCTATGAATTTATTTATTTAGGGACAGAGAAAATACTATTTTTTTTAACTTGATCAAACTTAAAAAAGCTTAACCAATCTGAATCCTAGAATTGCAATCTTTTTAGACCAAGGGATCAAGTAAATAGATACAAGGAGAGAGAGAGAATTTACCACTACTTATGTTCACTTTTTTTTATCTTTCCCTTCTGCTACGCAACAAAACTCAATTATCACTCCCTGTTTATCAGCTATCACTTGTCGGTAGCGGGAAGCGTACAAACTATAAGTACCGGCAATACTGTTTCTGACGGTCGGTGTTATGTGCATGCGCCGGGCCCCAATGGGGCGAAGATAGATGAGACGCATGCATGTGCATGCATATATATTATTTATACTGGTCCCAGCACAGTGCGGCACATTCACGCAAGACCTGGGGTCCTCGCGGTTTATGCAATGTACTAGTACTACCGCAGGCGCGGCCACGTTCGGCTTACGAGAGAAAAATATTATTTATTGACTGGCTGACTATGACTGATAAGGTTAAACGAATATAGCCTAGGTTGTGTTAGCACGAGGCAACCAACCACGGAGTATATGTGGGGTGTTTAAATCCAGAAACTAAAGTTTAGAGTTTAGGGGTGTCACGTCAGGTGTTATATGGAGGCGTCATTAGGAGTGTTCCGATATTAATAATAAAATAAATTACACAAGTTCCAAGTGATCCGCGCAACGAATTTATTAAGCCTAAATAATATAAAATTTCAGCCCAGGTATACTGCTTAAATTTTATATTTATTTTTTTCGAGCATCTTAACGACCTCAAATGTAAAAACTCAAAACTATAAAGTTATAGATCTCATTGAGAACTACAATTTTGATATAAAAAGTATCTTTATTTGACACAATACAAAGAAGATACTATTTTTCTAATGCGACAAGCGATAGTACATGATTATTATGGTGCTGAAATTTTATATAATTGTTTTGGGCATCCTAATATTCTTAACTGGAAAAACTCAAAACTAAAAAGTTGTAGATCTCGTCGAGATCTACAATTTTCATATAAAAACTATCTTCATCTGATGTCATATTAAAGAGTTATTATTTTTCAAAATTTGAGCCTTATCACGCCACTCCCGGTGGTGCGACGAGACAATACTGTCGCGCTAATAGGAGTGGCGCGATAAGGTTTTTCACGTCGGAAACGTTGTCTAATGTGGCAGATGTTGTCGCGCCAATGCATATGGTCGCGTCAGTGGCACCGGCGTGACCAAAAGGATCAGATTCGCAAACAAAAAATTTAAGAATGCGATTATTATTAAAATATTAAATAAAAAAAGATTAAAAATATAAAAATTTCCAGACACGCGGACCGTACCCGACGACGTTACGTCGTCAACGGCAGCCGGCCTGCTTGCTTCTGGGAGGGAGACCACCATCCTTCCTGGGCCAACGCCGATGACGACTGCTGCCGATCGTCAAACCTGCTCGGCCTCGATCGACGGCTCAACGCCGCCGTAAGACAGAAGACCAGAGGTCGTCGTCGTCGTCGTCGGCCTGCAGCTCTCCAGGACGCGAGGACGCACCTCAGACAATTCACATGGACGTGATTGATGAGGCTCCCGGCAAAGCCTGAGCTGCAATGAATTGCACAATTGGCCGCTGTACGTGTGCCTAGTACTATACAGTACGTAGAGGCCGATGAGTTGAATTGGACTGGTGCACTGCACTGCAGCTCCCATGTCGTGGGGGTACCACTCGTACAATGCAACGTACCCTAGCTTGCAATGGTGCTGCTCGGGCTACTGCCGGAGCAATTAGGGCACCTGCAACATGGAGCGCCTGGCCCGCTCGTAGGGAGGACGAACGTCGTGCCATACTGCCATGTCTGCCATGGGTCACAGGTCTCGCACCAATATATAGCATATATATTGGTGACAATGATGGTTCTATAGATTTTTTCAGGAAAGCCTTACCTCTATCGTTGTTGGCACGATGACAGGGACGGCCAATGCATGCTTGAGGCAGCAATGGCTCCAACAGACTTGAGCAGCATTATGACTATCTCTGCGATATTTCTAATATTTTTAGGCAACAAGGAAATTGCATATCACTCAAAGATTCAACATATTAAATTTAAGAGATAGCTAATAAGAAATTGAATAATTTGTGAGGGACTTGGATAGTTATTATCTCGAGAAATAGAGCTCACCAAGAGAAAACTCAGAGGAATGGAGCCACGAGCTAGGAGTAGGGAAAAGGAAATAGAAGAGAGAGAGAGAGAGAAAACAATAATATCTATATAAAATTCATGCCAATAAACATAGTGGGGGTGCATGGAGAAATAAAGGACAATTCTAATCAAACAAATAAAAATACTTACAAAAGTATTTTCAGGTAAAAAACATATGCTATAATGGAAAAAAAATATTGCTGTCTGAGTTTTTTGGGTGGTACGCCACCTTGCTATTCTATTTTTTTAAAAAATATCCGGAACATAGCCGGCGTATATTAATAAGGAGAAGAGAGAATTACATAAGCCAGCGGCGCAAACGGCTCCCTAAATTTGGCAGATCGCCAAGCTAGGCAAGGATATTAAAAGGACTACTCGCAATCTAGAGCTACAAAAATGAGCCACAACAACTTGGCTCCCAAACAACAACACAACCAACCTTTTATCTTCTAACCCGTCAAACAATCTAGCCACCGAGAACCTTGCTAGTCTATTAAGACTTAAGAGGTAGTTTCCCGACCAAATGATATTATAAGATTCAAAAATGCGTTTTTGTATACTATTTTAATCAAAATATCGAACACAATCCTCAATCTCTTCGAACAAAGTTAACAATTTCCTTACTAATTATAAAGACGAGAGTGAGGACTGAGGAGTGAGTCATGGAATGTACCACACGGAGATCATATATATGATGAGGCAGCTTTAGCTAGGCCCTGAACTGGTGTATAAATTGTTGGTAGGCGCTCAACCGATCCACATTTGCTTTACCTATGCACATACACATATATATTCAGATTCAGAGAAGCTAAGCTTGTGCTGCACTACAGTGAATAAACCAGAGCAGGTAGTAACTGCAGACTGCTGTTAGTCTGCGGCGGCGGCAGCGCAGTAGCTATGACGGCGGACGGCGAAGGCGGCGGCGAGAAATCAAAGTTCCGGTGGCTGGACGCGGCGCGCTACGCGGTGGCCGCCGCGGTGACCGTGCTCATCATGGCCGTCATCGTCAACGCCGTGAAGGTGGTCCTTCGCCCCGACTCGTTGCAACTCTCCGTCGACAAAGGCTCCATCTTCACGGCGCAGTATCCGCCACAGCTGATCATGGAGCTCAAGCTCCGGGCGCAGAACCCCAGCGGCCGGGTCCGGATGTACTACGTCGGCGTCACCGGGTACCTGTTCGACAACACGACGTCGGCGTCGGCGTCGTTGGATCCAGGATACGATTCCGTCGTCATCTTCAAGCCGAAAGACATGGCCGTGGTCCAGCAGGAGGCACTGGACTGCAGCCTAGGTATGAAGGTGGTGAGGGAAAAGCAGATGGATCCGTCCCACTTCGACGTGCTGTACAATGGCAGCAGCTTCAGCGACATGACGCTGCGGCTGGACGGCGACCTCATCACCGAGGTGACGTCCGAGCTCAACATGACTCGCCGGACCACCTACTACTGCGAGGAGCTCCTCGTCGGCGGGAACGGGGACGACGAGGCTTTCAAGTACAGGCAGGATGCCATTTGCAAGCAGCGAAGGGCCACGAATTAGACTGGGTAGGGGCATCATTTCGACCGTATAATGTTTCAACATAGTATTATCTTGTATTCTGTTATAGATGTTGCTAGTATCTTTGGAGATTGCTTGGCTTGACCAAATACTCTGATGCTTTCGACGATCTCTATTCTATTCAGCTCCAGTATGTACTTGTTTCTGAAAGTCGGCACTAAGACTAGAGTCAGTAAATTTCAATCGATACACTGCTACGTAAATGATTTTTAGAGACATCTCGTCTTTTCTTTTTCGAAGGCTTGTAGCCAATAGAAACGACGATCGCCCTAAAACTTGATTTATAAAGGGTTTTTTTTTGTTACGAACCACCTCAAGAAGAGAGTACGTTTACTGCACAACCATGTGTTTTATATAGTTTCAACACATAAATTTTTTAGCACCATAGGATTAAGATCCAACAGCCTCCACCCTTCTTTTACCTCCAGCCTCCAGCCTTCTTCTACCTTCAGACAATCATAAATCACAATATCACAGATCACAAGTCTGTCTACTACACAACCATGTGTTTTATGCAGTTCTAACACATGAATTTTTTAGCACCATAGGATTAAGATCCAACAGCCTCCACCCTTCTTCTACCTCCAGCCTCCACCCTTCTTCTACCTCTAGACAGATTATAAATCACAAGATCACAGATCACAAAAATAATTTTTTTCTATAGAACGACAAATCACAGATCGCAGAGGTGTTTATGTGTTCGTTATGACAACCATGAGGCCCATCAAGTATTAGCACTTTCACACATACATCCAAAAAAAATTATGTTTCCAAAAAATTTTTGGTGCTAAATTATGGATGCATTGTGTATTGTATAGCTATATTTCTAGCTTGGAAACTAAAAGTACCTTGGTCAGGTGTTACCAACACCCCATACAAGTGGCCGCCGTCAATTAGGCCAGCAACCGTGAGCAAGTAAATTTTGACGTCTGAAATTACGCTAAAACTTGATTTTCAGGAGCATTTTATGTTACCAACCATCCCATACACTCGGCAAACAGAAATACAACAATTTCTTGTTTTTCCCTTCATTCTTTTCTCATCAAGTATTAGCACTTTCAAAAAAATTATAAAAGTACAAATTTTAGAACATCCAAATGATTTCAAATCATTCGTGTGAATTTTTGTTAATTAAAAAAATCGTGACTAACATGAGGCCACTATGTTAAACCAAGTCATTGTCCATGGATGCATGACGAGTAGGATTTCTATTAAGAGTGAAATTCAACAATATGATTTGAACTTGGAATTTTTAGATTGTTCCCATGGCCTATATATACGTGAAAGTTTGGTGAATTTTAGGACTATTGGGAACTTGCAAAGTAAAGCACGGTCGAGTAACAGAGCACACAGCCATGGTTGTAGTTTTGCCGCTATTACTAATCCTCTTGTTCGGTTACTGCCCCACTAGCCGTGCAGCTGGCGACGAACATGGCTTCATAGGCATCGTCGACATGCAGAGCTCACTGAAACGACAGGCCGCCGCCTGCTCCGGACACAGCGCCGGTACGTCCGGTCCAACTGCAACATCTTCAGGCCAGTTTGGATGTCAAAATTTTTAACAAAACGTGCGTTTTCGTTGTTATTCAGTAATTAGTGTTCAATCATAGTCTAATTAGACTTAAAAGATTCGTCATGTGGATTTCGTTTAAACTGTGTAATTAGTTTTATTTTTTATTTATATTTAATGCTTCATGCATGCGTCCAAAAATTCGATGTGACGGAAAATCTTGAAAAATTTGGCATTTTGGGTGCAACTAAACAGGGCCTCGAAGAGAAACATAAATGATGCAGTATTTTGTTTGCTGACAATTACTACGTGTGTGTTAACAATGTTTGACGCACAATGAAATGACAGTGATCCCGCCACACAAAGGCACTTGGGTCCCGTTGTACCGCCATCTCGGGCCGTACGCTCGCCGCCGGCGGCATCTACCTGCGCGGCGAAGGCGAGGCCGCCGCCGTCATTGGCCGACCTGCTCCGCCAGGACCAGCTCCGCGTCGACCACATCCACAGGAGGCTGTCGTCGTCGTCCGAAGGCGTCCGCGTGAGCAAGCAGGCCGGTCCCGTCAAGGAACCGGTGCGTTCCGAGGTGATCCACCTCCACGACCAGCCGGTTATCCAAGTCACAATCGGCTCCGAAAGGAAGACCTCCGCCGGCGGCGGCAGAGGCGGTGTCGGCGGCCAGCAAAGCCAGGCGGCGGGAGTTGTCCAGACGGTGGTGCTGGACACGGCCAGCGACGTGCCGTGGGTGTGCAGTGCCACCCCTCCGCGTCGGCGACGGACATCACCTCCTCCTACTACTACGACCCAGCTAGGTCGGCCACGTACACCGCCTTGGCGTGCAACTCCGCGGCCTGCGCGGAGTTCGGCCGCCTCTACCGCGGCGCCTGTGTCAAAACAACCACTGCCAGTACCGCGTCCCTATCCCCAGCTCCCCCGCCTTATCGTCGTCATCGGGCACGTACGGCTCCGACCTCCTCGCGCTCGCGGCCGACCCAGCCAACGGCGCTTTATCCTTCAAGTTCGGGTGCAGCCACGCCGAGGCCAAGCAGGGCGAAGAAGGCAGCTTGAACAACGCAACCGCCGGAGTCATGGCGCTGGGCGGAGGCCCGGAGTCGCTGGTGTCCCAGACCACGGCCACCTACGGGAGCGCCTTCTCGTACTGCATCCCAGCGACGGAGAGCCGCCAGCCGGGGTTCTTCGTGCTCGGCGGCAGCGGTGACCCCTCCGCTGGCGCCAGGTACGTGGTGACGCCCTTGCTCAGGTACGCGCGGGTGCCCACGTTCTACCGCGTGCGCCTCCTGGCCATCGCCGTCGACGGGCAGCAGCTCAACGTGACCCCCTCGGTGTTCGCCGCCGGCTCCGTGCTGGACTCCCGGACGGCCATCACCCGGCTGCCGCCGACGCAGTACCAGAAGCTGCGCGAGGCGTTCAGGAGCAGGATGGCCATGTAGAAGGAGGCGCCTCCGCAGGGGAACCTCGACACCTGCTACGACTTCACCGGCGCCTCCTTAGTCATGGTGCCAAGCATCGCGCTTCTGTTCGATGGGAACGCCGTCGTAGCGCTGGACCGGCAGGGGATCCTGTTCCACGACTGCCTCGCGTTCACGTCTAACAGCGACGACCGCATGCCTGGGATACTTGGCAACGTGCAGCAGCAGACGATGGAGGTGCTCTACAATGTCGGCGGCGGCTCCGTCGGCTTCCGCCGCGGCGCGTGCTGATGATGCCGGGCTCCTGGCTACCCCCGCTAGCACCCAAATTATCTACTGTAGTTTTCAGACTTGGCATTTGTTGTTTGGTTCATTATGTTGTGACAAGCACTGTCTTATTAGCAAATATCCTCGTGCGTTGCAAGTTGTAACGGTACATACAACTTGTGTTGTGCAGTGAACTGGATGTGCTCATGCCAATTATAATGATGTAGCAACCTTTGTTGGATTAAATTGGGCTTGGCCCAACCCTTTTTTTACTAATCACATAAATTTCAAGACCTACAATAAGTGCCAGGTACAATAGAGGATTAAAATCCCATATAAAAAATTGACTCGAGATTAATTCACCTTAAATAGGTGGATATTATCTGCACGTGAGGTTGGATTTGCAACTCCAAACTATAACTGATACCATGTTAGAAGACCAACCTCATCCACGTCATGCTAGAGGAGGATACAATCTGCCTCTACTAGATCATGGACTTCTGTCATAGGTGGGTGGCAGTGGAAAATGGAGGAGAAGTGAGAGCAATGGACCAAAAGAAGGTGGAATGAGTTTAGCTCTTTACCTCCGCTACCACCGCCAAGTGGAGGTGGATAGTCGCCCTTGAGCGAGAGGACTATGGATCGTGTCGAGCCGAGACCGGGAGCTAAGTAAATGTGGCGTGCCATGTAGATGAGGAGTGATGATGGAGCTAATAAGGCATGAAAACGTGGTGTGCCTTGCTTGTAGTATAAGGAGTAAGAATTAACGGCAAACAAAAGTTTTAGGACTGAAATGACCACTTTGATATATAGTTATGGATGAATAGGTCCAAAAGTGAAATTTGAGGATTGAAATGGCTAATTTGATAGTTTAGGACCAAGATGAAGTTGAACTCAAAAGTAAACTTTATGGCCAAAACGACCACTTTAGTAGTTTGGGGACGAAATTGAACATCACCTGATAATTAATGATTTGAGGGATGAAAATAGTTATTCTAGAAAAAATTGTGTTGTTTTATATGTTTGTGTTAAGTAGTGCAGTAAGTTTAAAAAAATGAAAAGAATTCACATCATGCTAGAGGAGGAAACAATGTGCCTCTAATAGACCATGGACTTCTGTCGTGGGTGGCTTGGAGTGAAGGACAATAATGGAGTTGAAGTGGGGTGGGAGTAGGAGGACAGATGGACATAAGAGAGAGCGATGGGCCAGAGGGTCTGAAGTGAGAGATTATTAACGGACGGAGGAATAAGTTTTAGCTCTTTACCACCACCAAGCGGAGGTGGATAGTCACCCTTGAGCAAGAGGACTGTGGACCGTGCCGAGGTGGGAGCTAAATAAATGTGGCATGCATGCCATGTTGACGAGGAGTGGTGCTAGAGGTGATAATACATGAAAACGTGATGTGCCTTGTAGGATGAGTAAGAATTAACCCAAACCAAATGTTTCAGGACTGAAATGGCCACTTTGATTTATTTATTTTAAATAATGGAACAAGGCTTCGGCCGCTACAACCCTGGAGGGATATACAGAGCCGTACAACACACCACCAAGCACTTAGGCTCACAAAACATCGAAAAAAAAATCAAGACACAATTACACAAAGAAACAGAAAATACCAAATAAACAGAATGAATGAGTCCAAGAGTAAAATTTGAGGATTGAAATAGCTACTTTGATAGTTTAGGATGAAGCTGAACTCAAAAGTAAACTTTATGCCCAAAACGGCCACTTTAGTGGTTTAGGGATGAAATTAAGCATTACCCGATAACTGAGGGATGAAAATAGTTATTCCAGAAAAAAAAAATTGTACTGTTTATATGTTTGCGGAGTATTTTGTAAGTAGTGCAATAAGTTTAAAAACAATGTAAAGACTTCACAAGTTTTAGCGAATCTGCTTAGCAAGGAGAACAGGGCACCGCATCTTTTTTTGCTATGCTCCTTTTCGTGGCCATTGGCCTATATATACGTTGCCAGGAAACCACATGGAAACTTGGAAGCAGGATTCAGTAATAATATAAGCGCTGATAGCAGCAAGATACACTGCCATGGTTGTTTTGCCAATATTGTTAGTACTCTTGTTGGGTTCTTCTCCAACTTCCCGTGCAGCTGATGAAGAACATGAGGTCACTGTCCTGGACGTGAGCTTGCTGGAACCGCATACCAGCTGCTCCGGACACAGGGGTACGTTCATCGTCCTACCGGTGCATATGGTTGTGTAAAGTTTCAAGTGTAAATTAACATTGGTTGGCACACAATGACAGTGATGCCGCCCCACCCCCACAACAACAGCTGGATGCCGCTGTTTCGTCCTCTCGGCCCGTGCTCGCCGTCGTTCAAGGCTGCTGCGGCGGCGGTGAGGGCGAAGCCGTCGCTGGCCGCCGTGCTCCGGCAGGACCGGCTCCGCGTGCACCACATCCATAGAAGGGTGTCCGGCTCCCGCGGTGCGCGCGCGAGCAAGGGCTCCTTCAAGGAACCGGTGTCTGTCGAGGAAACCCAGCTCCACCACCAGGCCGCCATTTCCGTCGAGGTTGGCACGTCACAGACGAGCTCCGAGGTACGTTCGAACTGGTAGTTTGGTCTTGTTTTTCAGTGATTTCTGTCATGCATTAATTCCTGTACATCATATATCAGCCTAGTAGCAGCATTCATCCGGCGGCCACCGACGGCAGCTCAAGCCCACCGGTGACGGTGGTGCTGGACACGGCCGGCGACGTGCCGTGGATGCGGTGCGTGCCCTGCACCTTCGCGCAGTGCGCCGACTACGACCCAACCAGGTCGAGCACCTACTCCGCCTTCCCCTGCAACTCCTCCGAGTGCAAGCAGCTCGGCCGCTACGCCAACGGCTGCAACGCCAACGGGCAGTGCCAGTACATCGTCACGGGCGACTCGTTCACCACGTCGGGGACGTACAGCTCCGACGTGCTCACCATCAACTCCGCCAACCCCGTCCACCGCTTCCGGTTCGGCTGCAGCCAGAACGAGCAGGGCAGCTTCGAGAACCAGGCGGACGGGATCATGGCGCTCGGCCGCGGCGTGCAGTCGCTGATGGCCCAGACGTCGTCCACCTACGGCGACGCCTTCTCCTACTGCCTCCCGCCGACGGAGACCACCAAGGGCTTCTTCCAGATCGGCGTGCCGATCGGAGCGTCCTACAGGTTCGTGACGACGCCCATGCTGAAGGAGCGGGGGGCAGCGGCGACGCTGTACCGCGCGCTGCTGGTGGCCATCACCGTCGACGGGAAAGCGCTGAATGTGCCGCTGGAGGTGTTCGCGGCGGGGACGGTGATGGACTCCCGCACCATCATCACCCGCCTGCCCGTGACGGCGTACGGGGCGCTGCGCGCGGCGTTCAGGAACAGGATGAGGTACCGCGCCGCGCCGCCGCAGGAGGAGCTAGACACCTGCTACGACCTCACCGGCGTCCGCTACCCCAGGCTGCCGAGGATCGCGCTGGTGTTCGACGGGAACGCCGTCGTGGAGATGGACCGGTCCGGGATCCTGCTCAACGGCTGCCTCGCCTTCGCGTCCAACGACGACGACAGCTCGCCGTCGATCCTCGGCAACGTGCAGCAGCAGACGATCCAGGTGCTCCATGACGTCGGCGGCGGGAGGATAGGGTTCCGCAGCGCCGCCTGCTGAGTGCTGAGTGCTTGCTGCTGACCGATAGGAATCTTAGCTTGGTTCCTTTTGCATGTTGTGCACGCCTATGCACAAAACTGAGTATGTTCTGTTAGTGCCAGTGGACCTTGTGTAATACGTATTGTTAGGCAATGGAAATTCTATTTCGTCAAGCACAGAGAGAGTGTCGTCGGAACCATGTTGTGAATTCATTGTGATCGCTCCGGTGGCGGGTATTCCTGATGAAGCCAACATGGTTTAATTTGGTTGCATCATCGTGCGTGCTCCGGTGGCGTTCTATGATGGATTGCTTCAATTTCTTGGGCACTAGCTCTGTTCTCAACATCAAGAACAGTGTGCAATAGAATGGCAATCCGACAAAGAGGATATGAAGGCCGCGTTCGGATGGGTGGATATCGTTGCCGAAGAAATTAACGCTGTCAAACGCATTAACCGTGAATTGTTTTTACGTCAGAATGCATAACCGAAGGGGGTTTTGCGAGTGGTGTGGAGTATATATTTGTGTAGTGTGTTAGAAAACAAACAAATGCGAGAACAAATATAAGCGATTTTGATTAGACCTAGCTCAAAATTTGTACATAATTAACGGCAGCACTTGCACCACGGACATCCGGACGCCTGCAGCTGCTCCGCCCTGTCCGCTCGGATTCACGCGCCGCCCGAGCAAGCTCCATTTCCCACGCTCGCATCCGAACCGTCCGCTTCAGATCCGTTGCCCACGCTGCTCGGATGACTCGCCCCCACATCTTCCACCCCGGCATGGCGCCCCATCACTTACAGGCCGCCTGAAAGACCCGCCCCCGCCTCTTCCACAATAGCACCGTGCGGCCTGTGCCTCCTCCCCACACCGCCGGCGGCGGCCTGCGCCTCCTCTATGCGTCGGTGGCCGCGGCTTGGCCCTGCCCACATGGACACCAACGCCGGCGGTCTACACTTGCAACATAAAATGCTCGAATGCAACATACATTTGAAACAGATGAAACATACACTTGCCACATGTGTGTGAAACATATGCAATATCTAGATAAAATAATTGGAACATGAAAAAACACTTACTGCAACATAAGACTGAAACAGCAGAAACATTTGGAACATATGTTGCAACATATGTCTG